AAAAAAGGCACGGTTAGTACCTCTCGGACTGTTCAGCCCCAAAAGGTCCACAGCAGCAGCTTCTGCGATACCTTTTAGGGTATTGCGTCAAAAAATATGTGACAGTGTGTTGTTGCAGAATCGGTGCCTCTCAGGGGTGAAACAACGCCCACAAACCAAGACCTTGGTACCTCTTGGTATTTCTTTTTAGAACCACTGCGCACCGTCAATCATGACAGGACAGAAAATGCGTGCACTGTAAGTACCTTCGTTGTCCCATATAAAGCCTTAGAAAACTTTTCTAAGGCTTTGTATGGGACAACGAGAGGTACTTACAGTGCACGCATTTTTCGTCCTGTCATGTTCAACATTTGTAAAAGCACGTCTACCTGCAGCCTGATTTACGATCTGCAATCGTCTTGTTAAAGCCTGGTTTACATATGATTGCAGACGATCGCACTCGATCGCCAGCGATCGTCTGCAATTATATGTGAACAGCTCTGCGATCGTGTGCGATCATATGTAAATAAAGTTCTGCGACCATGCGATTCGAATGTGTTCTATAATGCTATGTTTTCCAGCGTGCAGCACTCCAAGTGCCCTGATACCATGACAACCAGTTGTTTATCAACTTTTACACGTGTGTGTGTTTTCACAAGATGGAAGCATGGTGAAATTGACATGGAACAGTTTATGGAAGAAATTAGAAAATTTGATTGTCTGTTCAATCCCTTTAAGACTTTCCGCATCCGGAAGCGACGTTTCTTCTTTGACCTAGCAGCGATTCTCCGTTTAAGTGGAGACAAAAGAAGCAGATTGTTAACACCTATTAAAAGTTCAGCGCCCTCGGCATCCACGATCGCTGCGATCATATGTGAACATGCGATTCACGATCTTCGGTTGAGTGGTTTCAGCAATCGTGCAATCACTGCGATCGTCTGCGATTATATGTGAACCAGGCTTTACAATTTCATTCCCAGAAAATTACCCTGAACCAACTTTCTCAGAACCGTAAATGATTAAGCAAGCCAAGAATCAAGGATTAATAGAGTGTAAAAGCGAGTTTCATGATATCACAATGTCAACAGAAACATACTCAGTAAAGGATTAAAAAATATCCAGAGGGCAAATAAAACAATAAGGTCGATTGCTCTAACGATGAACTATTTCCAACGCTCAATAAGGCTTGGGGGCAATATTAAACTTTTCACGCCAGCTGATTTCATTTTGCATATTATGTACTTATATTCCTAAGCAAAAGCTTTAGAAGCATTAGCACTTGTGTATGATAACGATAGAATTCGAATCCTAAACGCAAATAATAGTTCGGTATTTGTTTTATTACGAGCCCGCGCGTGCATCAATCAGAACGTGTCGCTATATTTTGTGCGACCCGGCGTAATTAAAAGGCTAACACAATGCGCAGTAAATTTTTAAAAATCATCTTTTCCAAAAAACAAGCCCCAGCGAAAGAAGACTAATTAAAGAACTCATTTCCGGCGAAGAAAGCGATAGGTGCATATTACGTTTGAACTTAGGCCCTGTTTACAAGCAAGGAGGGTAACCCTTGTGCTAGAGTTTCCCTAGCAGGCGGGTCAAAGATAGCCCGGGTTTACAAGCAAAATTT